CAGTATATAAATGGTTTGGATATGAACATAGGAGGTATGGTTAGTAAATTTACAGATGAAACCAAACTTGGTGGTGTAGTGGACAGCAAAAGGAGGTTATCTAAGGGTACAACAGGACCTTGATCCAATGTGCCAACGAGTGGCAGATGGAATTTAATTTAGATCAACGTGAAATGCTGCATTTTGGTAAGGCAATATCAGGGCAAGTCATATACACTTAATGGTAGGGCCCTGGGGAGTGCTGCTGAACAAAGACCTTGGAGTGCAGGTTTATAGTTCCTTGAAACTAGAGTTGCAGATAGACAGGATAGTGAGGGTGACATTTCGTACGCTTGCCTTTATTAGTCAGTGCATTGAGTAGAGGAGTTGGGAGATCGTGTTGCGGCTGTACAGGACATTGGTTCGGTCACTTTTGGAATACTGTGTTCAGTTCTGGTCTCCCTGCTAATGGGCAAGGTGCTGTTAAAGTTGAAAGGGTACAGAAAAACTAAAAAGGATGTTGTCGGGGTTGGAGGGTTTGAGCCACAGGGAGAGAATAAGCTGGGGCTATTTTGCCAGAAGTGTCAGATGATGCTTTATAAAATCATGAGGGGCATGGATCTGGTGAAAAGCCAATGTTTTTTCCCCCCCGAATAGGCACGTTTTTCACAAAAGGTGGTTAGTGCCTGGAATGCACTGCCAGAGGTGGTGGTGGAAGCAGACACAATATCAGCATTCAAGAAGCACCTGCATGAATACATCAATAGGAAGGGAAGAGATGGATACGGATCTTGCAGTGAAGACATTTTTAGTATGGAAGAGCAAAATGTGTCAGTGCAGGCTTGGAGGGCCGAAGGGCCTGTTCCTGCACTATATTGCTCTTTGTTCTCAAAGTAGGGAGTCCAGAATTAGAAGGCACAGGTTTAAGATGAGGGGGAAAAGATTTAAAAGGACCTAAGAAGCAACTTTTGTACAAGAGAGTGGTGCATGTCTGGAACAGGCTGCCAGAGGAAGTGGAGGAGGCTGGTACAATTACAACATTTAAAAGGCATCTGGATGGGGACATGACTAGGAAGGGTTCAGAGGAATATGGGCCAAATGCTGGCAAATGAGACTGGATTAATTTAGGATATCTGGTCGGCAAGGATGAGTTGGACTGAAGGGTTCATTTCCAGGCTGTACGTCTCTCTAACTGTGTGGAGTTTGCACATTCTCCCCATGTCTGCGTAGGTTTCTGCCAGGTGCTCCCATTTCCTCCCACTGTCCAAAGATGTGCAAGCTAGGTGGATTAGTAATGGTAAATGCAGGGATTGTGTGGGGGTTTGGGTCAGGGTGGGATGCTCTTTTGGAGGGTCAGTGCAGACTTGATAGGCCAGTACTGAAGTGTCTGTTTACATACTGTATGACTCTATTGCGATTCCATGATTCTGTGTGTCCCCTGACTGGCCACATGAGCATGTTTTCCCCCTTCTTGCCTCTTCGAAGGCCCTTCCAAACTGTCAGCCTCCAAAGATCACTGTCCAAGTTCCCAATGCCTATTGTCATCATACTTTCACTACAAAGATATCTGAAAGGGAGTATGGGTGGCCAGGAGGCTGTGACCCAGTGGCCAGATCACTGGACAGAAGGTTTTAGGTAATACAGTTTCAAACATGAATATGCCTGAACTAGTATGATGACGGCATTAGCATGCTCTGGGACAAAGTTTACAACTTTATGCCAAAGGATGCCATACATCTGAGATGGCAAAAAGGGAAACTGCTCAGCTTTTTCTCACCATTGTAGCAGATGAAGCAGACCTGGCAAACTCCCCAGCAGGGATTGGTAACAAAGCGAAAGCAATCAAACCTCAAAATATTTAGAGGTACCAATAGCCCCATTGACCAGAAAAGTAGCAAGTAAGTTTTGAGATGAAACGGACTCCTTAATGGACATTTCCAGAGTGGGACAATCCCACCCTGATTCTCTGGCCTTTGGAAAGTTTGATTTTTACATTCAAGTGATCAAGAAAAATCTGCTTTTAACATCAGAACTGCAAGCAACACTCCAGCCTCAAATCCATGTCTCCTCAAAATCCTGCTCCACTACAAAGTGAACCAATTTCCTATCTGCAAACATTACATTGCGAAATCAACAAATTTCAAGAGTTGTGTGTAACAACCTTCCTTCAGTCATTTGGACATGCCTGAACTTTACTCAGGAAGAATAGGAACCCTTGCTCGATTTGGAGTCACATGACTTCAACATCTACACTCAGGTTTTAATCTGTTGCTAGTAAAACTCTTCGTTTTGGGTGTGCATAGGTGTTGGTATGCTTTTGCAAAGTATCAAAGACCAGCCAAGATCTGCAAAGGCTGCAGACATTGCTCCTAAATGAGCAAGAGTGTGCATTATCGACAGAAATCTGAGACCATCAAGTTACGAGTCTAGCAAGTCTGTGCCTTCAGTGCACTTCACGACATTGGTGAGAACTAAACAACATACGTTTGACAGGAAGAAAGGCGGAACAATTTCCACCTTCACTATCTTAGACGTATCATAGCCGACCTTAAGAAGCCCATAATCATGGAAACAGACGAGTTAGCATCAAGATAGTACCTCAGCATGTCTCAATGGCTTCATGGATAATTACCTGAAGTACAGTCATCATGCAGGCAAAACAATGACTACACTGGGTATAAGTCAAACAAAAAAAAGTTCCCGCAAAAGAAAACATGAAGATGATGTTGAATTTGTTAATTAGTTTCAAAAAGCCCTTTGCAAGCTGTACAAACTTATATTTTGGTATCAATATCATGAGACATTCTCAAATTCATAAATAGAAGGAACTCAATGATGAAATGGATGTCAACACGAGTAATGAGAAGTAAGCACTCGTGGCAATAAGAATATTGTGATTTCGGTTATTTTAAATAGCAATAGTAGATTTGAGAATGTATATGAAGAGGGCAACAGTGAGCTCCGACTGAGAAACTGGAAATCTGGATTCTAGTGACACAGCATTGCTGGAAGAAGCAGAAGAAATGCAGAAATAATGACATTGATGATACCAAAACGTTGTCAAGCACTCTGCTTCCTGCAAGGACCCTGTTCCACTCTCGCAGGTTCTCCATCGTGTCTGTTCTGATGATGCCACCTTCCACAGGGATGCCTTCAACACATTCTTTTTATCCCCCCCAACTAGGATTGCTCCTGACTCCCATCCCTCTGTGACGGGCAGGGCTCTCAGCTGTGGCCAACCCATTTCCTGCACTTCTGCCCTCACAATGTTATAACCTTTCACCCCACCAGTTTCTGCATTCAAAGGATCATCCAGCATCAATTCAGCAGGATGCCCTCACTAAATACCAACACCGTTCCCTCACATGCTGTTGCAGAAGATATGACACTAATCTCCTCTGTCCTCATTGTGCAAGGTTCTAAACACACCTTCCAGATGAAGCTGTGGTTTACTTCTTTTGGTCTAATCTACTTTATTTCCTGCTCACAACGTCTGCTCCGTTACATCTATAAGACAACAGATTGGGTGACCACTTTGGTATGCTCCACTTTGACCAGAAGAACGATCGTGACCTTCCAGTTGACTGCTATTTCAATAAACTCCCATGCCAATATTTTCATCTTAAACCTTCTGCAGTTTTCTAATGAAGCTAAACATTAACTGAAAGAACTGCACCCCATTTCCTACTTAGGCATTTGACAGCTTTCAGGACTCCACATGAAGTTCAACACTTTTAGAACATGAAAACTATCCACTCTTTTGATTTCTCCCTTCGTTGGTTTTTCTTTAAGTAGATTTTACTTATTTTCTCCTATTCAAATCTACCATTTAAACCCATTTTACTTCTCAAATCTCTTGTTGCACCATTAGCACTCCATTTGTCTTTTGATCTGGGCAGCCTCACCATTTGTCCTTCTTTGTCAACATCACACAAACCGTAATTTTTCAGCCCACCATTAGCTCCGAAGAGTCTTTGGACTCAAACATTAATTCTGTTATTCTCTCCACAGATGCTATTAGATCTACTGAATTTATCAAGCATTTTTTTCTAATTTTACAACTTTATTAGAGTTGTGTGCAAAAACTGGCAAGTTGTGTTTTTCACAAAAATTTTAAGAACTCAAAATTCTCTCTCAAAACAATGAGACTCTTAATTATTAACAAGATCGTATTTATCCTATTTGACACCACAACCTGGTCAATGACAAGTTACTTTGATATCAACATTCTCGACAAATATTCAACATGAACTAGAGAGAGAAGTGCTAGAGGCAGTTGAAGAAAGAACAAAGAACACTGACATTAAGCCAAATTGCAATGCAAAACCAGTGGTAAGGTGATGTGTTCAGGAATTAAATTCCAAACTATGGGGTTAAGCAGTCAAATGGAAGAGAGAAGTGTGCAATGCCAAGAATAACCTGTCAAAAAACTACAGTAAAGACCTTCTGCAAGTTGACAATATCTGCAAGGTTGAGCAGCAGTTAGCAAATACACCAGCTGTAGAAGAGGCTGGTGTTGGCTGAATCAATGTATAAGTGAGTCACTCAGCTATCTGGCCTACTCGATTGCAACGTGTACAAGATTCCTCAAAAAAGTTATCATTGCCTTTGTGAGATTCATATAGATTGTTTCACACATTCAGGACATGCCCTAGTCACCTTTAAACTGTAAATGACTTTTCAAATCCACATGAACAGTTGAAACAGAGCTTCTATTTAACAACTCAACCAGAAGTTAGCACCTGCAACAATACCAGTCAATTTGATTAATTCCAATGGCCTTTCCTCCATAAAGATCAGAACTGAGGACGTTCGCTGATGATTAGTGCAGGACACATTGTAAATGACAATCAGCATTCCTCAGATAGTAATGCAATCCATGACTGCATGCAATAAGATCTGGATAACATACAGGCTTGGGCTGATGTGTGCTGTGTTACTTGGCACCTCAGTGTTGTTACGCAATGGCTATCTTAACAACAGAAAATCTAATAATCACCCCTTGACATTCCCTTCCTTACCTGAAACATGCCCAGAACTGCACAGTTGTCAGCTAAAATGTTATAACCAAGATAGGATGAGTTCACCATCTCTTTCTCTAGTTCCACTACTTCATCAGTCACAACAAACTTAGTTTGTTTTTCTTGGCTCCCAACACAGGCAGTCATATGCTTTTTCTATATTAGACTTAAAATAAAAGAGATTTATCAACCAAGTTTCTTTAACAAACACGAAACCAATCTATTTTAAAACAAAATTTATTCAATGAGGATGCAAAACTAGTGAAGATTCTTAGTTTATACTACACATATTTACTCCTCTAAACCCAAAATACACACACTCAATAAAGGGAAAAACTTATTTCTCTCTACAGAGATTCACTCTGTGTGTGTGTGTGTGTGTGTGGTGTGTGTGGTGTGTGTGTGTGGAAGAGTGGTGGAGGAGTGGAAACACTTTTAGCTAATAAGTCCTAGATCTTCAAGACAAAATGGACAGGCTTGAGATGTTCAGATAGCTACTGTATCTGACATTCTTACAGGGAAAGACTGGTGTCACTAAACACAGGCAGTTGTCTCTGGTACTTTGGCAAACACAGCTTGCTCAGGAAATGCAATATCGAGAAGTCTTCCTGTCACTCAGGTTTCATTCTGAATTCACCACAAAGGTGCTTCAGAAACAGAATGCAATATGCTGTAGTGACTGTTCCAAAAAAGTTTCCGACCAATTGAAAATCCAAAACCATCTCTAATTCTGCAAGACACTGTTCAAACAGATTCCAAAAACCCAGTTGTAAAAGGAGTCAAGTGCTTTTCCTTGAACTCAGGTCAAACAACCAAGATCAGTAATTACCTGGAACCATATGATTTACAAGGAATATCATGTTCAGAAAAAGCTCCAATATGTATTTTCACTAACCTTTTAAATGGCATCCAGATGTCTTCACAATTCTTCAAACTCAAGTCCACAGAAATTATTAAATATGAAATCAAATCACAAGATTTTGTCCAACTTGGGGCTCAAACCCAGAAGTTTCTAATACAGCAAGACAGCCAAGCTTACAGTTCAAATTACAAACAATATTGCATAGTGCTTCCCATTTTTTAAAAATGTGAACATTATTCTCTGACAATAAAACATTTATTATTTCTCAAATGAATCCTGTGATACTATCCAATGGCCCGAAAATAATTAGTTGTTAGCTACCATGACAAAAAAATCTTTAGTATTTTCACAAAAGCTGATCACAATTAAGAACAGTTTGAGGACTGTTAACAGTGCTTTACAACATCATGAAAATCCACTAGATAAAAATCACTTTAATCAATTTAACAAAAAGAAAAGCATGGTATCATTGCAACTCAGAGCAATAGAGATTCGGTTAGTGCCTAGAACATCAATGGAGTAGGTTGAAGAGAATAGCAATGAGGATATACAATAAAATACCATTAAAATTAGTTCTGATGTTATTGCTTACGTACGTAACACAGGCTTCTAATCTATAACGTATTAATGTTTGTCTTGTACAAGTTTGAATTAATTTTGAGGTTATCAAGTTAAAGGATGTTAACATCACAATATTTATCAACACATTAAGACGCAACATGAATCCTAGAAGAGATATCACTGCTGGCTACACAAGGAAGCTCCTTTTACTTTGCCCTCAATATGCTTCAGTATCTGCCTTGTGAGTATTGGAGGGAAGTTTACAACACAGAAACAGGCCACTTGATCCATCAGGTCTGTGCCAGTGCTTATGCTCCATATAAATATTTTCCAATTTCATCTCACCCAAAACACATCCTGACTGTCCTTTCTGCCTCAATTTTCTGGCTTCCACAAAAATGTATCTTTATCACTCATCTCAACCATTCCCCATAGGAGCAAATTCCACATTCAAACCACTCACTTTTCCCGAATTTCTTAAATGGATCATTAATGATCATCATATATTA